TGACGTCGAAAGCGCCGACAATGTCGACAAAGGGATGATCCCGATTGACCACGTCTCGATTGGACACCACCAATCACAGCAATCGGTGCTTAGGAGCTTTGTAGTCTCAAGCGCTGTGAGTGGCTCGTGTCCATTTGAGCCGTGTCCAACTGGGTGCCACCCCTTCAAAAACACAAAAATTTACTTTAAAAACAAAAGTATTGCTTCCAAAACACAAATTCACTGTTTTAAATATACAAATGCTTTGCATTAGCAGTGAATTTGTGTTCTTGAAGAAATACTTTTGTGTTTTTAAAGTACTGAATTTTTGTGTTTTCGAAACAGTACTTTTGTTTTTTTAAAGTACTGATCTTTCGTACAATACGTACAAAAAGTACAAAAATCCCTTAATCCGGATCTACAATAGGTGTTTTAAGATTTAAGCCATAAAAAATTGATCAACTATAGTCGAATACGAGGAGAATAATTGATTGTGATTCGTCCATTCCTTATGGCTTAAGGCTTAAAAACCTATTGTAGATCCGGAGTTAATGGGATGCTAAACCGATTACCCAACTCGATCAAGATTGATAGTACAGACTTTTTAAATTCCAAATTCGATAATAGTGGTGACATCTTTGATTTAGTTTTTACATAATATTATATAAAATATATCATTGTCTTACTCAAACGTATACATCTGTTCTTATCTAACATATGCCAGCATCATCTATCACAAGATCGCGATGTATACACGTATTTTCTATTCGGTGGAAATATTTCTTTTCTAGACTTTCAATCTTAGTTCTACAAACTCGGTATCGTTCGTTTCAATAATGTGACCTCAGCTGCATGCTTATTTTCAAGATATGGACTCTAAAACTCTTATATTAAGCAAATATATATGTGAGGTGACAGCTGTAGGAGCCAAAAGTAAGTGAATTTTTAACGAATTTTAAACTTTTTTTCGTTTTTCTCATGAAATCCAGTGCAGCTGAGGTCTTGTTTGTGCGTACTTTAATTGAAGTAATAATACTTTTGTATAATCCCTGTACATCCAATACAGAGATTTTTCACCGAATGGAAATGTGGTAAAACAGGAGGCTTTAGCATCGCCTTAAGACACAACGACCGCTACTTCTATTGTAGATAGACCCCGTAACATATTTTATATGTTATTAATAAGGACTAGTAGATAGAACTAGTAAAGTAGTTCTAAAATATTATTTGTTTCCTTCTTATGGTATTATCAGATAAGCAGATTAACTGATTTCTGTTTGTTTTTATATTTAAAAACCTTTTTATTTTTGTAATTTAGGGTGATGTCCCATGCAGCGGATCGTGCGTAAGCGGATTCGCGTATCGCCAATCACAGAATCATTCTCTTAGATACGCTTGCGAAATTTGCAAACAGATCTAAGAGAATAATTCTGTGATTGGTGATACGCGAATCCGCTTACGCACGATCCGCTGCATGGGACATCACCCTCAGATTTTCGATACGCGCGATCCGCGATACGCGCGATACGCTCCATGGGACTGCACCCTTAGGGTGCGAACAAGTTGCCGCTGCGAGTGCATCGAAGCATTTTTTGATTGGTCACTTAGTAAAATTCTCTTTCTTCCAATTGGTTAATCAAATGCTTCGAACCATTCGTAGTGGCATCTCGAGCACACCCTTAATGATATTAAAAGGTAAAACTGCCCACACAGAAATATGTATCTTGTGATAAAAATAAATATATAATACATTTTTTAATGTCAATCTATTGTAAGGGAATCGTAAATAAAACCAGAAATTTTGCGAAGGTATCGATAAGTATCGATACAGAGACCGATCCAGTATCGATACCTTTTTGTATCAATACTGGATATTAAATATTTTTCGAACACTAAGGACCTCCGCACAATAAAAGGACACCGGAACAGAGAATAGAGAATAAGAATTTTAACCTATCAGAAATCATGTATTGTGGACACAAATGTGGATACTCAGTTTCTGATAGGTTAAAATTCTTGAAAAGTATCGCACACAAAAAACTAGGGAAATACCATAGTATGCGTTACATATATTATAACATCTCCTTAGTTTTTTGTATGCAATACTTTTCGAGAATAGGGGCCCTATTCCTTTATTGGCTGCGTTCAGATACTACACTCGGGAGCACCCAAGCTCCCAAATGCCGTTCAGAAACCAATTGAGAGTATCTCATCGTTACTTAGGTGGCCCGTTCAGAAACGTGTCGGGAGACTTTTACACCCTGCTCTTTTGCTAGGTGGAAAGTCTCTCGATTGAGTAGGCACACAAAGCGCGGGAAGTGAAACATGGGCTGCGTTCAGCAAACTCAGCAGGTTTGCAACCGTTTTGTAATTCATCGCACTGATTGGATTATACTTTTAGATTTAAAGGAATAGTCCTATCTCAGCGAAGAATCACAAAACGGTTGTAAAACTGTTGAGTCTGCTGAACGCAGCCATGGCTACAATTAAGAATTTATTAATGCAATTTAATTATGAAAATCAAATTATATTGTGGAATCCTGGAAGTAAGTAAAATATATTTTACTTCGATCGTTTTTTTTGTTTGCAAAATATTTATCTTTAAACGTAATTATAATTAATTGAATATAATGTCTAACTTGATTGCATTTATTTGCACAAAACATTTAATATTAGAGGTTATTGACCTTGTTATTGACCGGGAACACTTGATACGCGTATTAACTAGTAAGTGTCTATTAAATTATCTTAATTTCGGCAATGCATAAAGAATGGTGTACTACTCCCGTACAATATGTATCAAAATAATTAATTAAATTAGTCATATCATGTATATGTTTACATGTTTCGCTGAAATTAAGATAATATAATAGAAAGTTTACTAGCTAGTACATATATCAAATGCTTGTTTTTTACGCTCCGCCATTTTCCTCCGGATAGGTCGTTCAGAAATGTACTCACCAGAGAGGGTACCTTATCCCTACCATGATAAAAAGACAAGGGTATGCTCATGCGCATGACCAATCAGATTTTTGTCCTTGCTTACGTCACAACGAGTGGCTTACGCCACTGTTCAGCAATTTCAGATTGTTTTGGAAAGGTAAAATATTTAATTTTACTTCCCTCAGTTTTTTTTGTTTTTTTCATATAATTGCCGCATCCTTTCACTATGCAGGTCATCGTGAAAATATTTTTAACATTAACTTCTACCGATGACAACGTGCACTACGCCATGGACGCCATGATAAATTACGACCGATAACCACCGATTGCACCCGAATCAGAACCGACCAATCAACGCGTACCCAAATATGACGTAAGCAAGGACATGCGCAAGCTGAACGAGTTTTATACAATTGATGAGCATACCCTTGTATTTTTATCATGATCCCTACCATTTCACTCACACAGACTCCTAGCAATCACCCGCAAGGTGAAGTTTCTGAATGCAGCCATTGTGCAGAGCCTCTAATGTACAGTAAACATTAGGCCTTTACAATTAGTATTCACATTAAGGCCCGTCTACAATACACGGAGTAAGAAGTAAGAGTAAGAAATTGACCAATCACAGTCGATTATTCTTCTCACATTCGACTGTGATTGGTCAATTTCTTACTCTTACTTCTTACTCCGTGTATTGTAGACGGGCCTTTAGAGATGGGCGATGTG